TGTAACAGATTTCAACTTATAAAAGTCTTGTATTTGAGTATAGCTTCATATAACAAATATTTATTTTGACTACATTGGAAAGAGATAAAGAATAAGAGATTTCGGCTTTTTAAAATCCTTAACAAACCATATTTAGGTAGGTTTCGTTGAAAGAATTAAATATTTAGCCGATAATTGATAATAAATAAATTACTTAATTTAGTACCACAACAAACACTAAAAATCAAAATAACTCGGAAACGCACAGGAATTTCGAGACAGAAGAATGGACATCATTTTTTTAAAACTATATGTAGATAATGAAAATAACAGTTTTTTTTTTAGTCATTGGCGTAGAAGTTCTGTTTAAGAAAGGAGTTCAGCACCCCCTCCACTCCGCCACTGTGCAAGTTTTTGAACATTTTTATCGCTTTTTTTATGTCTCTTAATTAATGGGCATTATCTCCCAAACATGAAAAAAATCTAAGCATTCGTTTATAAGTTATAATGAATATTCGAGAAAAAAAAAATATATTCAACACCCCGTATCTCGGAAACGAAGCCTTCTACGACATATTTTTATAGGAACTTTTCTTTTTAAAACATGTGTTCTATCTCCTGTTAAAATTTGTCTACAAAAAACTGATTCACCCTGCATATTCTTTAAGACATATTTTTTAAGCTTTTTTAAAATAACGTGCAGTTATTATTTTGAAAAACATTATTTTGGGGATTGCTTAAATTTTTATGACCTGTAACTCTTTTAGATGTTACTAACGTGTAGTCGATATTTCGATTCCTTACCAAGGCGATTCAAAATCTCCATACAGAATTTAGTAATGATAATACTCAACGGTCAAATTTCTTGCAAAACCACTCCAATTATTTCAAAGGATGGATTTCATGTTTTGAATGGCAGAAATTTGTTTATTTTGAATAATTGGTATTAAATTGAGCTTGTAATGAGCATTAAAGCATCAAATTGAACTGAGTACTGGTTAATTATCCCCCCCTGATCAATGATTTTATCTCTTAGGATCTTGCGACAGAAAAGTTTGGAACTGGTTTGATCTAGGGTCGTGTATATACACATTGACCAGAAAATCCATCCCGGTTAATGGACTGCAAGATATCAGAGTTGACGAACGATATTACCTCATAGAGGCTATGCTGTGGTCTTGCAGTGATCTCCACCTTGGGATCTCACTTTTGGCTCCAAATTTTCCATCTCTTGAGGTGGTGTATCTTTATGCTGTCAATTTTCAATGTATTTGACAAACTGATTCCGCAAAGTATAGAACTGAGTCGATCTGCAACCAGCATCAGCCTTGGTCAGAGTCATCTACTGTGACTCTTGTCGTTAAGAGCGCTTAGGTGCACCCGGGACAGATTCATCGAAGATATCCGAAACCGACATAAAAATTTCGATTTCCACTTAACATATTTGGCTTCATATGGATGGCCGGTTAGATGTCCTTAAATATAGGCAACTAGTATTGCCGGAACTTTCCTCGTTTAGATGGTTTGCAGACCGTTTTAGATCAGATTCAAAAACTCATTGGAAATCGAATTTGCTCGGGACTAGGTATCTAACATTCTCCTAATTCTGAGATCAGGAGTTAACTTAGTCCAAATTTTAAATGAAATTCAGTTCAAATCTTAACTTCTTCTCGTAAAGATCTTAGGAATTGTTACTCGTTTTTTATTTTTTTAAATAAATATACTAATGTAATTTTTTAATGAATTAAATAAAATATGGTTTGTATCGTTTTTCAAGTAAATTGTTTTTTTTTTCAGATAATGGACCGTGTTTGGGATGGAGAGAATCATATGCTAAACCTTACCAGTGGCTGAGCTATAATGAAGCTCTCCTGAGAGCTAAAAACTTTGGATCGGGACTTGTGGCTCAAGGGTTACCTCCAGGCGCGACTACGATAATTGGAATCTATGCTCAGAATTGCCCAGAATGGATACTTACGGAACAAGCCGCGTACTGCTACAGTATGGTATTAGTACCTTTGTACGACACCCTTGGTCCTGACGCATGTGCCTTCATTATTAAACAAGGTACAAATTACTTATGTGAATGCTGAATGCTTTGAAAAGTTCGTTAAATATGAAATACTTACTGATTATCTCGGACAAGATTGATTGATTGATTCTTTCGGTTGTTATTACAAAAAATTAAAGTTACAATAAAGCGTGGGACCCATATCATTTTTATGGAATAATTTCTATGCTTACATTGTCACATCGTGATCAAAAACTTTCAAACGAAACTTGCAAAACAGTAGAGGTAGTTTACACTGATATTTGGAACACATTTTTTTCATAATCAACTTATGGATACAGTCAGATGTTTCTTTTATTTTTCAATATCTATTTAAATTTTGATTTCATTCAATCATTTCATTTTTTAAACTTAATAGCACTGTAACTTTAAGAAAATCTAAGAGTACTGTTCGATTCAATTATTATTTTAGTGTTCAAAGTAGGATTGCCAGGAGATTAAATTCGTGAAGCATATAATCCTTCAGGTTCTAAACTTATTCAGTACAATAATAAGAACAGGTGAAGGTGATTTTCACGTTGTAACGCCTTTGCCTTTGAGGTGAAAAATATTTATCGTATCCATATTACACGGTGGAGTAGCCTGGGGTTCAATGAAGTACACACGTAAAATAAACTAATTTGTATTCAACTCAAGATCTATCGTATTTAATATAAAATCAAACCAATTATTTCTCACTTATATGAGACTTAAATGAACTGATAGGAGCACCTAATGTGTACAGACGATGGAATCAGGAGCATTTTCACCTGTTACTGACTACAGGGGGTAGAGACGGTCTCTGCCTGACTTAATCACCAACATCAAAGGTAAACATGACAAGACTGGGATAGTCTCTGCCTTGCAAAGCCATAGTAAAGATAGAGGTGCCGAATTAAAACTTAGCACTTAGCAGGAGTGAAGACCAGTGCTAAAGTAGGAGAGGGCCTATCTAAGAGGCGTAGCTTATACCCTTACAAACTGGTACTAAATACTGGAGTTTAGAGTCGGCGGTCACAGATTTATACCCGTGTAGCCTAATGAGCTCATATACAAACAGTGAGGAAATATGTAACCTGTCACTTTTTCAAAAAATTTATGTTTGCTTCCACTGACTAACACAATACAAGTGTTAATTCACTTAGGTGCAATGTGTATAACGTTTTTGTTTCTTTTTTTTTTCTTCTTAGTGTTAATTTTAATATACTGTAATTGTTTTATCTGTTTTCTAAAAGTAGGCCTAACACCTAAGATACAACGTTAAATAAGATTTAACAAGTATTATTTTTTTATACTTAGGTTCCTACATGATTGACGTGTAAAAAGTTATGTATGTGTATGTGTTTTAAAGTTAGCCACATTAAACATTAAACTGACTGTCTTAGGGATCTCTTAACATTAGCGAAAAAATAATTTTCACTAAGTAACCCTTTTGATTTTCATTTTTCACTGATCTTATTCATTCCCTAGTTAAGTAAATCTTACATATTCTTTACCTAGGGGCGTTTATGGCCAACAAACCGTTTCTTACAACCGGCACTTTGATCCATTTTAATTATTATTACATTTTAAAATTTTCCGATTGTATTTTTTTAATTTATAAATTATAGCCACGGAATTGGCGCCCCGCGTGTACGCTTATTCTGTGGCATTTCTAACGACGGTTGAATCAAGTACTACGTACGTCCGTTTACACCCACTAAAAAAAGCATTTCCCTATAAGTATTATAAGATTTATAAGTGCAATAGACAGTGTGCATCTATAATTTCGACTGCGAAGTTATAGCAAATTATATGTACTCTCACAGAGAAGTTTCCTAAGTGTTGATAATGCAAGAAGCAACTGCTCTATGGTCAACATGCCCCAGCTAGCATTGAATTATACTACACCATCAATATAGTAAATATCTTATATACATACACATATATATGTATATGTACTTATATACATCTTATATACATACTTTATAGTAAATAGCTAGTAATAAATAACTATCCAAAATTAAAACTAAAATCAAATACAATTAATATAGTTAGAAACACTTACCTGACATATTGAAATTGTTAAATAATGTAATCATTATGTTGACGATTCGTTTTTTTTTGTATGTGAGGCTAAGGTGTCATACAGTAAACAACATGATCCCTGACATTTTCTAGTGTCTTTTTTAAATTTGTGGTGGAAATAACATAGTAAATCATTTGAATTTGACTTATGAAATCTATTAGGTGATTTAGTGCGAGATCTATGCCTAAATTTGCATAAATTACAAGTATATGTGTTGGGTATTGAGACCTTATTAAATAAAGAAAATCGGTTTTGTAAAGCTGAGACTTGATTTTCTAATATTGATTGTTTTTGTGACAATGTTTGTAAAATATTAGAAATTAGATTATCTGTTTTATGGACAACCTTATTTATAATTTCGTAATGGATAACTTTCCCAAATTTTGTCGGCTAAATCTACAATTTCATTGACACTTTCCTTACCCGATGCTGTAATTGCAACTAAAACTGGTTTCGGTAAACGCCTTTTCCACAGTTTTAATAGAAGATTTTGGCTGACGACTTGTGAACCTCCTACAACGTTCATCCTGTCTCTGAAAAACTCTGATGGCTTCCTATCGCCCAATTCTGATTCACTGAGAAGTTCATCTAAACGTTTTTCTTCACTCGCTGTTAATCTGTTAATAATTATATCTTTAATGGTTTGATATAAATTTTGTTGCGGTGGCTTAGCTATAATATCATATACATTAGTTACTACTTCTAATGGTAAACTAGATATTACATAATTGAATTTTGTTTTGTCGCCTGTAATTTTTTGTAAATTTAATTGTGCCTCCATTTGCGTAAACCAAATTTCTGGCTTTGAAATCCAAAATGGTGGCAATTTGAAAGAAAATATTTAATTACTATTGTTAATGTCATTGTCATTTTCAATAGTATTATTCTGAATTGAATTTGAAGTCATTTAGCAATTATTATATCGAAATATAAAATTTTATGTTACTGATAATGTAGGGAGAGAGTAACTGAGTAAGTGTCTTACCGTTGGTCGATTCAAACTATATATATTTTTATTTTTAAATTGCTGCAATCTTGAATTTCTTCTTTGCTATTTTCAAACTGCTTTTGTTTGTCCTGAAAACCGATGATGATTTCGTGTTCCTCTTTGTCGGGCGTTTTGCTTCTGGTGAGGTTCCTCTTGGCGTTCCTCTTCGGCCACGTGGAATGTATCACGTCGGATGTATTATATGAGGCAGGTTGAACGGAACACGACGGGCAAGCTGAATGGATCCCGTCGGGCAGGCTGGAAGTATCACGTCGGGGTCACCAATTTTATGTTTACGATGTACTTTTATCGCAACATAAATAATATATTTTAAATTCTTGCTGATATAAATGAATTCGAAAGGGATGAGGCTCCAAAATATTTTTATGTTTTATTTTTCTGCTAATACAAAATCTTGTTTTTTTGTCAATAATTTTCCTTAGCTACCACAGACCCTAGCTGATCTGATAAAAATAAATAAATCTTATATACAAAGATAAGTAATAAGACCATCACTACAGCTAATAAGACAATCACTACAATCATTCAAAGAAATATCTAGCAACCCATTTTGCAATAGTATTACGTAACGGTTCCCAACAGTGGATCAAGCTAGTAAGTCAGTACTTTAGGTATGCCATAGACCTTCGATATAATGCTGCATTTTACCTGCCCTTGTAAATGTTTGTACCTTTGGCAGTTGGCATATTTCCGCACAGATAGTTCTTCAGTGCTCGAGCGATAATCAAGAGAAGGTATGAACTCAAAATTCTCTAAAATTTTACATTGACATATTCAAGTTCTAATAAATCACCCTCTATATTCTCAGTTGGTTAAATTTAAACAGCTTTGTTTAGAAGCAAAATGGATACTAGATTCTGGATGATTAGTAGAAGCAAATAATTGAGTAAAACAAAAATAAATGCATAACGTGGCATTATTTTATCGATTATCAAAAAAAAATTGTCATCTAAATAGTGGGGATTTCTCTTGCTTACTTTATTTACTTTATCAAAATCATGATTATTACGTAAAATGCACTAAATCCATTTGATTTAAATATTTAAATTTAAATAAATATTAAAATATTTATTTTTTAAATTTTAATTAGGATTAAATAATTATTTCTATCAATTTTTTTCTAGCTGAAATAACCGTAGTGGTATGTGAAGACGACAATAAATGCAATTTGATGCTAGAAAAGTCTCCTAGATGTTTAAAGAAATTAATAGTCATCAAAGACCTTAGAGTCTCAACTAAGCAAAAGGCAAAAAATATGGGAGTAGAAATTGTTAGATTTTCTGATGTAGAGTCGCTAGGTTCCAAGAAAAGCCACCCAGAAGTAGTAAGTACGATATATGTAACTGTCATTATTTGGACCACTAAAAGAACCGTAGGAATATATTTTGAAGATCTCAAGTCTATTTCCATATAAAAAAAATAGATATAAAAATAAATATATAAATTTCATATTTTCATTTTACCTTACTTATTAAAGTTATAAAAATCCCATTTATATTTGATTTATTCTAGAATTTATCAATGACAATATAAATGTTGTTTTCGATGTAACGAGCGTTCAAATAAAAACGTGGTCGAAGTTGGCTCTGACACATTGGACGTAGGGCGTAGCTTATAGCGACCAACTTAACCTCATTTCTCAACGAGCTGTATAGCAGCTGTCAGTTTCAATAACGTTAATGACTATATAACTTTATTTTAAAGAATAATCGTGATAACAATAACAAACAATTAAAGGAGCTGCGGAAAGTGCCCCCCTCCTTGTTATAACACTTAAATGAAACCAGGCTTCATCAGAAAAAAAGGTGATATTATGAAGTTCACCGTAGCTGTTTAAAAACCATTCACAAAATACAGCCCGTCGCGGAAAATCAACTTCATGAAGTTCTTGCTGACAAGTTAAACGATAGGAGAACAAACGCAAATCTTTTTTTAACACTGTGTGGCAGGTACCGACTGATACTCCCACCATTTGTGATAAAACACGTACAGAAGTTCTTGGCGCATTTTCCATTATTTGTTGGACATTTTCTTTTAATTCTTCAGTCCGCTTTTTAGGTCGGCCGCTTCCTTCTTTTCTTGTTACACTGCCCGTTTCACGAAAAACATTAACACAACGCTGAACTGCACTTTGAAAAATTTTGTACTCAACAACGCCGGGAAATTGATTTTGAAATTCTATGAAACATTCCTCAATAGAATACTTCCATATTCCATCAATCTTGCGTCCATTTCTAAAGTAGGACTCTATGATAAACACTTTTTGTTCTTGAGAAAACACCATTTTAAACGCTTTTTAAAACGAAAATATTCAAATTGATAGTGGCGATATAGTGCTTTGACAGATGACGTTTAAGTTCATTTGCTATACGCTACGCCCTACGTCCAAATTTTCAGAACCAACTTGACCACGTTTTTATTTGAACGCTCCTTATAAATGTTGATTATCCATAAGAGTAGATATTGAATAATTACATTTTCTCAGTAAAAACTTCTTGCGATCAATATAATAATATTGTGTATATTTAGCCTCCAAAACCCTCAGATCTTGCAACAATATGTTATACAAGTGGAACGACCGGGAATCCAAAAGGAGTTATGCTGACTCATGAAAATATAGTGGCCTCTACGAGTGCCGTCATTTTACAATTTGGGGATCACAAATTGAAAAGTACTGATGTCATGATATCATTCTTGCCTTTGGCTCATATGTTGGAGAGGTGCTGTGAAGTAAGTAATACTATCCTCCTCTGACGCTTAGGTACATTTCATATTTAGTTTATCCTACAATCATGCAATAAATCACACTTCAATTATTAATTATTATGGATTAAATTATTCTGACTGCAAAAAATTACACTCAAACAACTTTCATCTATTTTTTTTCGATAACTCAAATTTTTGTCCAATATTTTGTACCCTTTAAATAACGCTAACGGGCTGCCCATGGATTAAAGAAATGTATGCCAACATTTTATGGAATGATGATGATCTTACAGTTTTTTTGTTACCTTAAATATTAAATAATTTCACTAATTAGTTCCCATTTGTTTATAGGTACTTCTTTTTGTTTAATATTAACTAATCGTTCCGATTTAAAAATTTAAAAATTTGAAAATATCTTAGAAACCAAGTTTTTAAAAAAATTGCTTATCATAACTTATTGCTTTTGATGTGTTAAATGTGCATTTAACATTTTGGCACTTATTTCTGTGTTATTTTATACTACTTCACGTTCACGTATGGACAAAATGAATTATTTTCTTAGTGCAATAACTATTAAAAGGCGATTGTAGAGAAAATATTTCACGTAACTCATGAAAAAGTGTTGTCAAACTCAACCTTCATGTGACAATTGCAGTGTACCAAAAATACTTAAGTTTTAGCACTATTTACATAAATAACTATTAGATACATGTAATGCTGATTGATGTCATAAAATACTAATAAAATTTTATTTTCCAACGTGTTAATATTGGCTGAGAAATTTGAGAATAAAACATTAATATTACTGTGTTAAAAATAATCTAGTATTTCAATTATTTTGTTTTGTTGTATTTGTTTTGTTTCACGACAGTGGTGACTTAATAATAAAAAATAATAAGAAATCGTATGTTATTTTAATTAAATGTAAGTTGGCCAACTGCAATCATTATTTTGCTGAACTATGAGATTTCTTTATGAAAAAAAAATCAAAGCATAGGTATCTTATCCAGTATAACTTGGGACATAAATATGTTTTTACTTCTGTAGTATCGGTATATCCAGTGTATTTCACATGATTAAGAACATGTTTTTAAATATTTGTTCACATTTTTAAAGACAAACCCAATCTTTAAATTTTTTTGTTTTTTTTCCTCGATCTCTTTCTAACAACATGATTTATTACAAGGGTGATTTAAAAATAATCTTAATAGTAAGTACCACAGTTGGATATGAGTTTAAATCACAAAGTGAAGTGAAGGAGCAAAAAAGTTGTAACAGTATTAGACATTTTCTTCTAGAGAATTAAAAAGTGTCGCTGATTATTCAGTAGCGTGAAACAAAATATTCAACTTTTTTCTTGAAAAATAAAAAACTTATCTTTTCAGAATGCCATGTACTCCGTGGGTGGAGGGGTTGGCTTTTATCTGGGCGAAATAAGGAGGCTTTCTGATGACATGAAAGCCTTAAAACCAACAGTAACTCCAGCTGTTCCTAGGCTTCTTAACAGGATATATGATAAAGTGCAAGCTGAAATCAATGGAAGTTGTGTCAAGAAAATGCTGTACAACATGGCCATTAGTGCAAAAGAAAAAGAAATAAAAAGGTGAGTACTATATGTATATATAAAGAGTGTGCCAATATCTCCGAAATGAAGAAATGTATGAAACTGGGGTTGTTAGGTCCCTCGAATAGCTTCAAATTGCAGTTAAAATTGATAGTTTAAATCTTTCTGTATAGATGGCATAGCAATACTAAAAAATTTGTTGATTCCTGGATGGTGGAAATGTGGTCCATCTGAAACATCGTTAAATTTTGAGTAATTTTTGTAATATAAAGTTTTTCCCAATATTTACTTGTTTTCGAGACATGTCGACTTCAATATGCAATGTAGGTATGATGGAACAGGAAAATCTGTTATTTTATTTAAATCACACTGAGACAAAATATTCTTTTAAAATATTGTTATAATGGCTTTATTCACACCACATGATCAACTACAGAAAAAAAAATTGTACAATGGTAAATCTTATAACTAGTATATACTTCACGGTCGAAATTATAGAGAGTGACTAAGACATAATATAAAAACACTATTACCATAATGTGTATAAAATATAAAATGATTTTTATACGGTTCAATATTATTTATCTTTGTGCCGCTCGCTACGCACATCGATAGAATCTATAATCGTCTAGAGACCGAGTTACAGTGAACGTCGATCTATATTCTATCTCTGTCTTTTGCACTTGGTAGGGTATAGGGAAATGCTTTTTTAGTGGGTGTAAACGGACTTGATTTAACCCGTCCTGAGAAACGTCATAGCATAAGCGTAGACGAGGGGTCTAATTCCATGGCTATAATAAATTTATAAATTAAAAAAACACAATTGGGACGTTATAAAATGCTGTAATAATTAAAATGGATCAAAGTGCCTGTTATAGCAAACCGTAAAAAAATATTGGATGTTATGTTTTATTATCTTTTTTCATTATTTTCTATATCTTGTTGCCTTTTACGCAGACATGCCAATGGATTTTCGTTCCCGACAAGCTTCATCCCCCTTACTAGTCCAAAAGCTAGCGATGAATCACTCTCTATAATTTCGACCGCGGAGTATAGGTAAATTGAAAGATGAAAGCTGATAAATCTGTAACTTTTGGAAAAGTAATATATGTGTCATCTGTTTACATGTTTTATTTTAAACAAATGACATGAGCCACCTATGACTGAATATTTTAATATTTGATAAAATACAGTTCGTCTCTGCCCCTCATCAGAGGGTGCCATTTAAAGTTTAAGTGCATCCTACCCTCAGGGCTCGAATTGATTTTGCTTACCTTAGTTATTAAATGCAAAAAAAATTACATTATTATTTATTATTTTTCAAATAGGTACCTATAATAATCTGTAAACACTATCTAGATATTTATATTCGATTATGTAATAAAAAAACAAAATAATAAAACGCTTAAAATTTAATTAAATAGAGAAGATGAAATCATTGGAAAGATTTTTTATTTTTACTGATAATGAAAAAAAAAACTAAATAGAAACTTGTATTAACTATGTCAACATTTTAAAAATTTGAACAAATATACAGCTACCTACATTATGTAAAAGCGCAGTGGGGCCCTTTTTTTTTAAGGCGTAGATCAAAATTTCCATAACATCGATGGTGTTTGTAAATTGTCACATCACGGTAATTTCATTAATTCTGCAAAATAACTTTAAATACATTAATTTTGAAGAAAAAAGAAATAAAACATTTCTCTAACTCTATCCATTTTTCATATGTAGGAACAAAAAAATTCAATTTTCAACTGTTAATATAGATATCTCTAAAACAGTTAAACATATAAATAGAAAATCTTGGCATAGAGTAATTCTAAACTTTAAAATCATTTTAGAGGTATCATAAGAAATAACAGTTTCTGGGACTTGGTGGTATTTAGAAAAGTCCAAGAAGGAATGGGAGGAAAATTGAGATTAATGCTGGTAGGATCTGCACCATTGGCAGAAAACGTACTAACATTCGTCAGATGTGCTTTAGGCTGTTTGGTAAGTTTCATTTAGTGAATAAACATTTGAAAAATATCTACTCTTACAATTTCTTTTGCTATCAGAAATAAAAAACAAAATCTAGCTCATGTAGTTATTTTATAAAGGATATGAAAACATTTATTTGTATAACCCATATTACAAGAGTAAAAGACTTTTATTTAAGTCATCAGAATATTTTCACATACATATTTATAGCCTCTATATACACACAACAGTCACGGAATATAAAGCCATTTTATCAAGGCGACAATCAATATCACTTACAAAATAAAGTACCACTTCTTCCTAACAATATTCTTATACCATTTAGAAAATTTCCTATAAGCTGTTATAAACAGAAAAATGCACATTTAAAGCAGTTTCTAGTATCGTAAAAGTCATATTTTAGTTTAGGGAGGGATAGTTGAAATTGTTTTTTCTTAGTTGTAGTTATGAAATTTCATATAAGTCTCCCACTTTTTGGGGTCTGTGAATTTGCAAATGTGATTTAAATACTATTACAAGTATGTTATCGGCTGTAATACTTATTTATTGAAAAACTTAACGAAACGGAATGTCCTAGGTTGTAGAAGGATATGGCCAAACAGAGTGCACGGCGCCCATTACTTTGACTATTCAAGGAGATCATGTCCCTGGTCATGTAGGACCTCCAGTTGCTTGCTGTTGTGTCAAGCTTGTCGACGTGCCTGAAATGGAATATTGGGCCAAAAATAATCAAGGGGAAGTGTGTGTTAAAGGAACTAACGTTTTCCAAGGTTACTATAAGGATCCTGAAAAGACGGAAGAGGTCATCGATGAACAAGGTTGGCACCATACAGGAGATGTTGGAACGTGGATGTCTGTAAGTTTTAAGATTTTAATTTGACTTGGTATACATACTTAATAAAAAGATCTATCATTATTTTTTTAACAGTGGAATAAATTTTAAATATTTCTAATGCCTTTCATTACACAAAACCTATGCAGAAATTCTCGAATAATTGTTAAATATAGTGTCATCATCAAATATTAAAAATAAAAAATAGGAGGTGTGTTCTTTCGCATTTCTGATATAGTTTTCTACACAACATATATTTCATTAATTTGTACACTGTACAAGTACTCACTTGTACCTTTGCTCATTAGGCTCAGGATTTAACAATTTCATATTAATTTTGAGAATAGAGAGCTTATTAATTATTGTCTTTTCAATTTAATTATGCTTACAAAATGAAAATTAACCAGCTAGGGACAGACATCCCTAAATCCTTATTACAGGTATATTTAGTAATTTATTGCAATTTCTTTTAGAATGGTACGCTAAAAATTATTGACAGAAAAAAGCATATATTTAAGTTGTCCCAAGGTGAATACATTGTACCAGAGAAAATTGAAAATGTCTACATTCGGTCTCAATATGTCAGTCAAGTTTTCGTGCATGGAGAATCATTGAAAGTAAGCTACATCTTTCATATTTAAAATACATTATTTGTTAACATAATAAGTATGTGTTTCACATATAAACTGACTTTTTAATTTTTTAGTCATGCATTATAGCGATAGTAGTTCCCGATGTAGATGTTATCAAATGTTGGGCACAAGAATATGGAATTCCAGGTACTTTTAGTGTCCTTTGTAATAATGCTGAAGTTAAACAACTCATTATGGATGATATGATCTCTTGGGGAAAAGAAGCTGGACTGAGATCATTCGAACAAGTAAGTTTTTCCTGTTAAATTTAAAAACATACATGCTGTTATATTTGAAAACCACACGGCAAAAACGATGAAAGTCACTAATTTTGAAGTTTAAAACGGAATTCAAATTTAATTCATAATTTTTGTCAAAGGGTAATTATTATTTATCAGTAAACGGTAAAAGTATCCCTATGATTTTTCTACTTTTTTACACACATTTTTTTGATACTAATATCCTTATTATTCCGTTAAAATTGACTTTCGGCGTTTTTTTCATGTAGTCTTCATTTACAATACCTGTAAAAAAATGAAATAATTTCGTTGATTTTAAAAACTTTTATATTAACATATGGTTTGTAGAATTTTAATAAAAAAAATAATTTGTAAACTGGCAGAGAAAAAAGATTTAAACACTTGATCTGAAAAAGAACAACGCTACTGCACAATGGCTACTTATAGTTGGGCCGGCAATTTTTTACATACACGTCATTAAGCATAATTGTACAAACTAAGTTATAAAACGAATTCAAATGACTAAATGTCTTCATAAATTACTGTTCTTTTAAGAAATAATAATTATTCACATTTGTATAATAAAAATTTGTTTTGTAATTTTTTGCATCATAACAACACTTTAAAATTGTATTGAAAATTTATTTGAAAATTAATAAAGAATCTTTGACAGAACAGACATAACTTCAATTATTATAGTTCTTTTGATATGTGCATGATAGTCAGAAAATGATTTTCAAGTGGCTGATTTGTTGTGACAGTTTAGATAAGAAATATATATTTTTGAGACCTGAGATAATGCACGAAAATCTACCAACTACTGCACAAAATACTAATCTGACAGGTTGACAGGTGACAGCACAGAGGACGGTAGCAAAAGTTGCAGGAAACGACGATATGTCTGTCTCTTCTTCATTCATCATACACAATAATTACTAACCATCGTCCGCACAACATGAATGTGCACAGCACAGCCCAACTATACAATCCACTTTCTTTCATTCAAGCTTCAATTTTTTTGGTGTTATTTAATATTAACTTTAACATCCTGTAATTTGAAAAAGTGGTGCCTAAATGAAAATGGCTTAAGAGACCTCCATTTCTACTTAACTCTATTTAAAGGTATTAAACTAAATCAAACAAATTCAAAAAAATAATTTTCAAGTAAAATCAGAAAATGTTCTACGATACCAGATATTTAGTTATAGAAACATGCGCATAGCTAGGATTTTTGCTAGGGGCGGGTCAGAGCAGCAAGCTGTATGGAGGACTCTAAAAAAAAAAGAAATGCACGTACTTCGTATTGGATTGGAATGCTAATACTTAGTAAACAGTAATAACAAATAATTATCCAAAATGAATACAAAAACTCATTCCTGATGTATTGAAATCGTTAAATAATGCTATCATTCAAAGAAATGTCCTGTATTCTTGCTATCACTTTTGACAAAGCTTAATTACGTAAAAAATATGAAACACTTTTTACATCAAGCCTGATAAGAATTTGTCTTAATAATTTTTTTAATTTGTTTGAATTAGATTAATTAATACCTTTAAAATATAATAGAAACATATGAGAATAATAAAATTTGGTTTTTGAAAAAAAAGTACTTATTTACACCCGAAGAATTCGTGGTTAACGGCTTAACCCACTTTTTTATAGCACCTCGTATATCTAACCTGCAGAAATATTATATATGAACAAAATATTCTAATTCTAAAAATGTTTTATTAACGAAAAGGTTATGTACCTAGGTGAAGACGTTGCAATTTGAGAAAAATAAAATTAGACTTAACTTACATAATTGTGTTTCAGGTTAAAGATATATACTTACATCCAGACAACTTCAGTATTCAGAATGGCCTTTTGACTCCAACAATGAAATCGAAACGTCCACAACTTAAAGCTTACTTTAAGCCGCAACTAGATGATATGTACAGCAGACTTACGTAGGTGATGTCAAGGAATAATTATTTAGATAACAAAACTAGATTTTAAAGCACCAATTCTTGCGGAATTTCTAAAAGTAAACGTAGAACAGAAGACTTTTTAAAAACTTATAGCAATATATAAAGTTAATAAAATAATTGCATATCTCAAATATTTCCATTATACTGGTAATTTGGTTCTTTATATTATTTATAGCAAAATAGGTATAGCAGACTGTTAATAACAAAGGGGCTTCTTCTATAAATAAATAGTGTTTCAAAACTAAATATAGACCTACTGCATTAGTAGACAATCAAAATTTTCTTTCAGGAATTCAATTATTCAAAAGTCCCGAAATAAAATATAATTCTGCTCAAAACATATTTAGGTAAAAATAAATTCTGAACTAAGCTGTTGTAATTAAGGCAATATATACGTTACATCATATATTTTTTTTATAAGTACATAATCAGTTTTAACACATTTAATAAATGGCCCAATTTGTATATCCGGTAATTTGCTTTAATAAGTAATTTTTGCGGCAGATGCCTTTAAAATTTGTCGAAATTAAATCCAAAGATTTTCTTAGTCCTAAGTTTTTTTTATTATATATTACTATTTCACTTATATATGTATTCTGTGCACATGCAGAAAAAATAAAATATATAAAATATATACATTTTATTGATGGTTAAAAATTTCTCAAATTTTTTTCTGAAATTTATAATTGTGTGTACATTTTATATATCTTATGTAAGTATCTTGCCTTTAATATATAAGATTAGTAAAAATATGTGTTGGAAGTACTTATTTCCCTTGTTGATAATGTTTGTCACATATTTTATTTAATGTATTTATTATATATTTATGTTAATGCAAATTGTCTTTAAAATAAATATTTTGCTAAATTATGATATATCTCCTTTATACAACCTGCAAATTATTAATTCACTGAAAGGTAGGCATAGCATACATAGTTGAGCCAAGACAGACAGCTAGTTCCTTCAGTACAAAAAATGCCACACTTCGCTTCTGCAGTTTACTGAGACAAGATAATTGGGGGGTGAGCTTATTGGAAAAGAGCTTCCATGAACTACAATGAAAACTAATAGGGCTCTTAGGTGATTGCAGTACAATAAAAAATATATAAAAGTCTTACCGAGCACCAAAGCAAGGACCTAACAAATTATACAAACAATAATTATAGTAGCACATTCAAAAAATCTCTAATGTTGCTAAATATGGTTATCATGACAATGGTCCTGGCCCTGGAGTAAGAAAAAACATTTGTTAGCCTGAAGAAATGGTGCCAAAAAATATATGTAGTGTATCTTTATGTATTGTTCGCTGCCTACTCAAAGGCTTAATAATACATATTTAAATTTTGCTCATAGGTTAGATCATAGTATCATTTATTACGTTTCCTAGAAAAGTTAATTTACATATTAATGCCATTTTAATTATTTAGGGTGTCCTCGTGAGACAGATTCTTCCATAGTTCAAGACATATCAATAACACGTTTCAAATAAAAATTTCACAAAATCAACTTCTTTACATTTTAAAATTATTTTCGAATATCCTAGTTGAATTTTAGGTCAACTTTAATAAATAAATATATAGGGTCTAAATTGTACCATTTTGTTCTTTAACCTTTTTTCAAATACCACTTACAGCATACTTGAATATAGAAAAATATCGACTAAATATGATAAGATGAGGCTTTCAATATCTGTTCAACCACGAAATACCTATCTAATAAATTTCAAATAAAAAAAAATAGGCGTCAAAGGTGGCACAAAATTTAGTTTTTCTCTACAAGACATATTTTTAGTTTAAAGATAATTTAAATTAATTCTAAAAGTTTCCCTATTGAATACATGAAGCCATCCAGGGTGTCCCAGAATAACATGTACAACGGAAGACCACAGATCCGTGGACTCAAAATAGGCAGATTTATGCTAATTCACCTATATTCAATGCTATATTATATTTGATAGGTGATACCATTTGGAAGTTTTTATGCCTCTTATAGAATTTTGATTAAATGGGTACAAAAAAATATTTTTTAAATGTATACATTATCTTGCCACCCATATTACAATACTTAACAAAGTGTTTTTAGGCTCTAATTTTGTAGACTGACTGTAATTTCAGTTTAATCTTGTTTGGGATAGCATTATTATTGGCCCCGTTATTCAACCCAATAGACTAAATGGGGAATTTTATTTAGAATTTTTGCAAAACCCGAGTTATTGCAAGATGTGCCATTATTACTCAGAGCTAACATGTGGTTTATGCATGATAGCGTTTCACCACATTTCACTGTAAATGTCTGTTGGTATCTGAACCAAAGATCCCCTCATCGATGGATCGGTAGAAGAGATAATTTCCTGTTAACTGGCCTGTACGTTCACCAGATTTAACACCTTGTGACTATTATCTTTAGGGCACTCTGATAACAACAGTGCATGATTCCACATCTAACACTGGACTGAGTTGTGGAGGCATATCCAAAATGCACTAAATGTTTTAAAAAATAGCCCTTAAGAATTGCGAAGTATTTCCTTTAATACGTTGACTGCGGTACATACTTCGGGGGGTATGTACTCATTATAAAATATATGCGAATCTCAATAATCACATTTTTACTGTATCTTGTGGAAGTTGCAGAATCTGTACTTTTTAGAAATGATTTTTCTATTATTTTCGTTTCAAAACTCTTTGCGAATATATATCCCCAGGGATATGTACCGCACACAGAAGAAGTTTTGTTACATATCCCCGAAGATATGTATCGCAGTCACGGACAAAGTACGTTGAGATTATCTCGCAGTCAACGTGTTAAATTTCTTCGCCAAATTAACCTTTGTTGTAGAAACAATGGTGGTCATTTTGAACAGTTTTTATAATAAGTTTTATTAAATTTAAATAATCACAACTTTTGTTACTATTATCTCCAGCATTTTTTATTGTACTTCCAAAAGCCAAAGGCTTGTGCGGAAGGGGGCTACACTTGAAAAAACGCGGACAAACACCCATTATCCATCGACATTGCCAGTGCCGACACCGGGAATCGAACCCAGACCAGAGTAGGAAGCCTAGCCGAGAAATGCTTGTCACCGCACTCTCGACCGACTGCGCTACCGTGGCGATTAAGGACACCCTGTATATACCATAGAAATAACCCAGCAATTAATAATTATCTAAAATAAAAAGTAATTTATACAGATGTGAAATCATTAAATAAATTATAACATCATCTTTGACAAGGCCAATATATAGAGGTTTTGTTTGTGACCAAAATACTAGTAGCAAATGGACTGTGCCTTCATATAAAAGACAGTCTGTAGTCTGTAGATATATGCTTATATGTTTCCTACTCCAATTTACCATTAAACATTTTTTTCTACAAAACAATCGGAAGAACTTTAAACTCAATAAAAATAAGAAATCAAAAAATACCACACAGATCGCAATGTTTATGAACCAAAATTTTCGTAACAACCAGTACTTTTAACACTAGTGTTAAAAGTAACTTACTTTTAACACGCGTGTCAAAAAATGACATTTTTAACATCAAAAATGACAATTAAAAAGCCCACTTTTAACACTAGTGTTAAAAGTAACTTACTTTTAACACGCGTGTCAAAAAATGACATTTTTAACATCAAAAATGACAATTAAAAAGCGCACTTTTAACAGTTTTGTAGAAAAAATAGTGTATGATATACGTGTTAAAAGTGATTTTATTTTGTTCGTGAAATTAAAAAACTCGCTACGCTCGTTTTTTAAGCATCTTCACTCACAAAATAAAATGCCACTTTTAACACTTGTATCATAAATAACTATTATGCAAAGAAACGCATTTTTTAAGATTTTTGCTTATAAAACGAAGCAGTCTGAATGCTATAAAGAGATAATTTGTAGAGAATCGAAATCCGAATAAAATGAGAGGTCGATCGATCCGATTGGATAAATAGAAACAAAGGAAATCCAAAAAAATCGGAAAAGTTAATGTTTTTTCTTAAATTTCATTATTCCGCCTTTTTTTAAGTTTTAAAGCTGACCCTGTGCACAATCTGTGCACAATAGTAGTGAATTATACAGGGTGATTCATTAACAATGGGAAAGTCAAAAGCTGAATATACTACACATAAAATGGCGACGATTGGCGCAAACATGCCTTATCCGAAAGTTAATAGTTTTGGAAATACAGGGTGTTGAAAGTTAAAATTTTAAATCGTTTTTTTGCGATTATTCTGAAAATATGTAGGTTAGGAACTTGAAAATTTGTGAAACTATATTTTTTTTTTGGCGGCGAATAAGATGCGTGTTGTAATTTCAGCATTGCTCATAGAGGGCGCCACTTACGACCAATTTTACCGAAAATGATCAGTATAACAGTCAGGATTTTCTAATTTCAGATATTGAGCCATTCCGGTACTTTACTAATAGTATTGCGCCCAATATTTTCTTTAATATGTTTACCTCTACGGTACAATAAAAAGTTTTGTAATGTTAGTTGACCTGTTAGCTAGGTATGTTTTAACAACATTAATTCATTGTGGCTCAACAATAACAAACTTCCTAGATGTTTCATTCCTTGAATTAGGAATATTAGGTACAAATGGTACAATAATATCATCTCTCATGTCTAAATCAGCAATAACCATATCTACTGCACAGTTCATCTGTTCTGCAAGCACATGCACCCCAATTACCACAATAGTCTAGAATACTTATAGTTCTTGTAAAAAGATAAACACAAATTAATAATGAAATGTACCTTTTTTTAATAGATACACATCATCAAGAGCTTCAAATATAAATTTGTCAATTTCCTTTTTTGCAAATACACGTGATTTTTTTGTGTTTATAACCATTATTTTTCTGTTGATTTTTTGAGTTTAAAAAATTTTGAAATGTCAATATTTTCTTTTATTGTAGGGGTGGCTTTTAACATGGAATAATTTGCTCGCATCAGTTTATTCTTTGAAATATTCCAATGAAACATTTTCTGTTATTTTAACAGCTTTCTTTTTCCACACCATATTTTTAATTGAGTACATATATCCATTCTTGTACCATCTCTTCAATTTTTCTGACAATCACTACTTACACTAACTGCTGCATCTCTAAGTTCAGGGGGGATACACATTTTCATCTCTAAATCACTATTGATATTTCAGAATATTTGAAAAAAAAGTACAAAATTACTAGGTAATATCGAAATTTAATCAAATCAAATATGGCAATATATCAACGTCAGTAGTAAAAAATTCTATATATACTTCGATTGAGAAGATAGACCTCGCACATTATACAGAGTGTCCCACTAAGAGCGGCTAGGTACGATATAAGGTAAAGTATAGTTTTAGAACTTCGGGAAAAAAATTTTGATCAATAAATCCACCAAGAGAAATCGCTGAAAATAGTTTTCAAGTTCGTAACTCGGCCGCTAGGGGGCGCAATCTTTATAGAATTTTTCTCAGAAATGTTTCCTATTCAGGTATATTATATGGTACAAATAAGGATAGTGGGATTCATTGCGCATAACTTTTGTTATTGACATTTTGTTCTATCTCCCTACAGAAAAGACGGGGGAAGCCCCTAATGTCTCATCAGAAAAATGCATTTTTTAAAGGAGGCTCATCAAAAGCCCATAGTGTTATGCCTCGTTGGAAAGGTTCTTTTCATGCTGTATCTCGTGGTGAATGCGTAATGTCATTGACCTCAATATGTAAACCTGTAGACGGCGTTATTTCAAAATAATGCCGTTTTATGGATTTTTCTCAAAAATTTTAAAAGCAATGCTATAGTTTTCTTTACATAAATGAATTTAGCACAAAAAATGGATGATTATAGAATAAGTTTGAAATTTTTATCGAAAGTGTTGTTTATTTATTGCCGCTATTTATCCAAGTTTAGGTTGTTTTCTTAAAAATGTGAAATAGCAGGATAAAACTTTTTATACTCATAGGTTAGTTTAAAGAGCATAAAAATAGTATATTTTTTTGTTATCAAGTTATTCGCAAATTAGTGAGCAAAAAATAAATAATTATAATTAATTGAGGAACACGATCGCTAACGAGACATTTAATTACCGAAACAAAATGCGTTTATAAAACAACCTACCTACGCAACGAAGGTTAAATTTCTGTATTGAAAATAATGGTATGCATTTCGAGCATTTATAAACATCGTTGCTTTTGCTAAATTGAATTGTTCTAGCGGCCGAGCTATGAACTTGAAAACTATTTCCAGCGATTTCTCTTGATCGATTTATTCATCAAAAATTTTTTCCCGAAGCTTGAGGGTCTAGGGCCTATATTTTTTATAATATTGTACCTCGCTGATTTTAGTAGGACACCCTATATATAAAAATGCTCCGTAAATAATACCTCACTTCTCAACCTAAGTGTTAACTATTTTAAACAGTTTTGCTTTGCTTTTAATGGCTGCGACTTGTTATTTTAAAGTCATCATATTTTGTTGATGTCAATGGAGCCGAAGTGTTGATCGTTGCTAAATGTAATTAAATAATTTCTGTTTTAAAAAAACTATTTTTCTGTTTTATAAAATGTCCTCAATACCCACACAGCACAATGACATTCGTAGGATGTACTGAGGATAACTTCTCAGGATGTATAGGATATCCTCGGATAGGTACACATTCACCTCAGGATGTACCAGGGATATCCAAATGGAACGTCCCGGGATTTGCTCGTAACGTCCTGAGAACATCCGCCTGACTATCAGCAGGAGATTATCAGGTTATCAGTGATCAAATTAGGACGTCCTAGGATTTACTGTGTATGTCCTCAAGACATCAATCGGGCTATTATCAGGTTATCAGTGGATCAAATGAGGACAATGTAGGCTTTACTGTTGATGTCCTCAGGACATTAGCTGGGCTATATACAGCACATTTTTAGTACTTATTGGGCTAATAAAAAAAATTACAGGGTGGTATTAAATATTTCTATAGATCAAATACGTACCTAATTTCCAAAACATTTGCTTGCCATTTCCACTCCATCTAATATTTATTAAAAAAAAATATTGACAAAAAAATGAAAAGGGAAATCTGATCATTTATCTATTCGGTTATAATACGAGATTTGATTTCTTTGAATACCACTGGAATAAAAATTAACAATACAATATTTTGGATCTGTCGATTAGATTCGTCATAAATACGTAAAGGGTAGTTTTAAAATTCTCTTTTCATGAG